CTGGGCATGGTGGCGCATGCCTGTAGTCCCAGCTACTCGGAGGCTGAGGCAGAAGGATCATCTGAGCCCAGGAGTTTGAGGTTGCTGTGAGCTAGGCTGATGCCACATACTCTAGCCTGGCCAACAAAGTGAGACTCTATTAAAAAAAAAAAAGAAAAAAAAGACAGGGCAAGTTCTCTGGTTAAAACGGATGAGGCAGAAACACCGTTATGTGTTCCCAAACCCAACTCTGTACCCCGAGGCACACAGAGGCAGACCACGTTCCAACCTCCTTGCAGGAGGACAGAGCAGTGAGGAACAGGGACAGGATGGGGCAACTGGACAGCTGAGCAAGAAGGATATAAACAATCTTCTTTTTTTTTTAGAAAGAAACAAGAAAAACAAAATTGGGGAAAAAATCCTGAGACAAGTCTTGTTTTGCCCTGATCATGAAAAATACAAATGAGTATTTATTCTAACACATGATTCTTTTCGGCATAGATAGTAATAAATGAACTGCGAAGGTAGAAGATTCAAGCAGTGAGAGAAGTCTAGGGGGCCAAAATTAAACTGGGGCAGATAATTCAAAATATTTGGAAGAACACTTCATAAAAAATCCAATTTTGGCCAGGCGCAGTGGCTCACACCTGTAATCCTAGCCCTCTGGGAGGCCGAGGCGGGAGGACTGCTCAAGGTCAGGAGTTCGAAACCAGCCTGAGCAAGAGCGAGACCCCAAATAGAAAGACATTAATTGGCCAACTAAAAATATATAGAAAAAATTAGGTGGGCATGGTGGTGCATGCCTGTAGTCCCAGCTACTCGGGAGGCTGAGGCAGAAGGATCATCTGAGCCCAGGAGTTTGAGGTTGCTGTGAGCTAGGCTGATGCCACGGTACTCTAGCCTGGCCTACAAAGTGAGACTCTATTAAAAAAAAAAAAAAAGAAAAAAAAGACAGGGGCAAGTTCTCTGGTTAAAACGGATGAGGCAGAAACACCGTTATGTGTTCCCCAAACCCAACTCTGTACCCCGAGGCACACAGAGGCAGACCACGTTCCAACCTCCTTTGCAGGAGGGACAGAGCAGTGAGGAACAGGGGACAGGATGTGGCCAACTGGACAGCTGAGCAAGAAGGATATAAACCACTTCTATGTCTGGTGGCTGAAATCCCTTCAT